GACAGTTGTTAATAGACATGAAAGCCAGGTGCAGTTTAAACATAAATAATTAACCTTTAATTAAACTAAAGTTGTCATCACACACACAGCAAAACTAGCTTAGAAATAGTCTTATCAAAGTAAAAAAAAAAAATGATGCGTTTTAAAATATTATAATTTAATTAATTAAAAAATATTTTCCATTCCTTTATTTCCTCTCAATCCAAAAATACATTAAAAATTCCCCCTTCTATCACCATTCTCACTATTCATTTTGGTGCACTAGAGTAAACATGTGCCTAACACGGGAAAGAGAGTGTAAAGATAGTTGTAGCGATTATCCATAGCTGTCCTCACACTCAAACGAGTTTGAAATTCGTACATACCGCTCCTAAGGGTGTTGCAGAGTGAGCGCTGGAGTGATTGTTGCTAATCCCAAAAACTCCATTTACAGTTCTCAATTGCCTCCATTTCAGAAAAGCGCCTGCGCACTCTGCTCATCCACACAGCTACACTCCACAATGAGGAACAAGCATGTGGCTCACAAGAAACGAAATCCACGTCCATCTGGTACCATCTATCTCTCATCTCTGCTTCAATCTATGTGTTTTAGGGTTTCTATTTCCCTCTCTCTACAGCCCTAACCCTGCCACTAATGAAACCGCAGCCACTGGAGCGTCGTCACCGGCGTCAGCGTCGCCTCGTACAAGATCTGTATGTATTTCTCTAGCTTGAGTTTTTGCTTTAAACAATTTGTTCATTTTCTTTCTTCATTTCGTCGGCGCTACCTGCGATTTTGATTTTGCTTCAGTCGAGACCATTTGTTTTTTCTTTAGCAATTTTAATTTCTGATTCTTTGGTACATTTTAGCATGTTATATTTACTATAGGTTTTCAATTCTCGCTTCTTTTATTTTGAGGTATGAAGAGATTTGATGAAGCTATTCTGGATAATCACCTCTGATTTTGATTTTGCTTCGGTGGAGACTTTCAATTTTCTTTAGCAACTTGAATTTCTGATTTATTTGCATTTTACGCCAAGTTTTCTTGTCTATCTGAAGTTTTTCTTTTTTTCGTCTTTAAATTTCCTCTTTGTTGTGGTAGCTATTTTGCTTTCGTCTTTGTGTTCTATGTTCTTTTTCCGAATTAGTAGAATTTAGAAAGAAGGTGAAAATTTGAGTGGCCTGTCTCTCATAGAGGCCGTGATCTACTATGATTAAAGCAGCTAAAGCCTTAGATACTAAACTGGTGATAATTTATGTTTAAACATTTTTAAGGCTTTAATCTTTTTTCCTTTTCCCTTAATTGTTTTTATAATGTGTAATTAAGAACTAACTAATATCTATAGGCATCTGGTGCAAGTGCAAGCAGAACAGGAGATGCCCAAGCAAGTGAGTTCTAGTTAAACATGAACATTCTTTTCATCTATAATGTCAATGTTGGTGTAGTAATGGTGAATGCTTTTCTTCTCGGATCTAAAGCTTCTGGGAAGAAAAGAAAACCGCATCGCTTCAGACCAGGAACGGTGGCTCTTAGAGAGATAAGGCACTACCAGAGAACCTGGAAGCACCTGATCCCTGCAGCCAGTTTCATTAGACAAGTAAGCTAGCTTTTCTCTCCTTTGATCTGCCCCTTGCTTGGTGGTGCATATTGATGTGTATGTAGATGCAAAAGCTTGTTTACATTGTATTCAATCAATGCAGTTAGTTATCATAAAAGCTAATTCTTAGAAGGCAAGTGAGGGTTGAAATGTACTTTACTAATTTCAATTGCTCAAGTGCTGATTGAAATTGGCTTTTGCAGAATGCAGACAACAAAGTTGCATCTTGCTTATCTTAACATGAAGGTTCTAAATGGCAGCATGCTTGAAATCTTAGCAGTCTTGTCTTCTCCTTAGATATTTTAACCTTTAAGAAACTTGCACAATATCTTAGGAACTGTTACATCATGAATGTCGTTTGTCTTTTATGTCATGAATAATGAAGCAGTAATGCATGCATTGCTATTTTTCTACTAAAATTGTACAATGTTTTATGTTTGTCACTGTTTGAAGGATTTAAAATGGATATGCTCTACTTCATCCTAGAAATGAATGTATTGCATAATACCTTTTAACTTCCACTTTGTTGTTCCTTCTGCTCTTCTAACAAACACCTTGGTATAATAATGTGATTGACAAATCTATGAAATTCAAATGATCCAGCTGGTATAATAATCCTTTTTCATTTGTTATAGGTAAGAGCTATTAGCCAGAACTTGGCTCCACCACATATCAGTCGCTGGACACCTGAAGCTTTAGTAGTAATACAGGAGGTTTGTTATCTTATCTTATTATTAACCATATTGAGGAAAAAGAAGGTTATTTAACTTTGCATGACAGTTTCAAGATCAACTTATACCTAGTGTTCTGCATCGTTTTTGTATATATTTTATCACATTTGTGTTTCTCTTTATTTAAATGCATAATAATTTTGTTTACGATTTTAGGCAGCTGAGGATTTTTTGGTCCAGATGTTTGGAGATGCAATGCTCTGTGCAATTCATGCAAAGCGTGTAACACTGAGTGAGTTAGACTTGACAAATTTCATTTAAACTTTTTTTTACTCCAACTGTCATCACTTACTAGCCCAACCATATCCCGAAGAGCAACTTCGATAGTAATGGAAGGAACCTTTTTCCCGTTTCACATAACTTTCAATGCATTTGTTCTTGGGGTTCTTTAGCATGTGCATTCTCACTTTTCCCTGATAAATCTTCTGTGGAGTTGTTTTTTCTGTTGTTTACCATGGAAAAATTGCCTAACTGGATTGTTTTGTGGCTTGCCAATCGTTTGGAGTTCTAGCAACTAATTATAACAGAAACTTGTCTCTCTCAAGTTTTACCCAATAAGTCATGTTGGTATCTTGAATAGGTTTTACACTTGTAGAAGAAGTCATATATGTGTTTATAAATCTAAATGTTTGTCACAGTCTATGCATTATATCTTGTTCCTTTTTCTCTCAGGCAGAAAGTCTAGGGAAGAGTATTTTGCTGCATCACTCTCAAGTGTCCAGCATCTTCTTTGTGATAGAAGAGGAAAAAGCTTTATTTTGTCATTTTTAGGTGTATGTTTTCATATCTTTCATTTTAGATTCATCCACAAAATGTTTCCTTTGAATTATGCTTTGGTAAAAAATTAGCGTCATTCTCAATATTGAATTGAATCTTCCAATCAACATATACATTTTGCTGGCATATTATTTTTTCTAATTTGTTTGGAGGAACTAAACTTTATGGGTTCTCACATGCCTTTGTGTTAGGATGAAAAATTTGGTTGTCATTAACAAAACATTCATAATCGATTGGAAGAGTATGTCTTGTCCCCACATATATTTGTATTATATTGTTGATTATCAAAGGCATGTTTTCGGAAATTGTTAGTGGTAAATGTTTGACCTTTTTATCCTGGTACGTGACAATGATAGGAAGTTTTGCATCATAATTCAATTCCCTCAAGATCTTAATAACTGCAGTATGTTAGAGAAATTCATTATTGATCATTCACAATGACAATGGGGAAAGCCCTCTACAATCTACAGTAGTCCTTACACAAATGCTGGTATTCCTTTCTTGTATGTTTGTATTTGTCAATTTCTAGTTGAGTTCATTTACTTTTCTTCTTGAAAAGTATTTAAAATTTTCATGATTGCTTAATGCCAAAAGACAAAACTAACTTGTTTCCTTATCTGGCTCAGTGCAAAAGGACATTCAGTTGGCAAGACGCCTTGGAGGGTATGGGCGGCCATGGTGAGAGAATTGTACCATAGCCAACATCTTAACCCAATGTAGAGATTCATTTGTAATTTTGATTATTAATTAATCTGCTATCACTTAATTCTCAGAATGATAGATCAGTGCATTGAGCTTACCATCTTACCCTCTAATTGCGTAGGGAGAATTAGAAAGCTCCATGGTAGTGTAGTTCTTGATGAGTTTGTTACTTTATGTAATTGTAGTTTTCAGGAGGGAGAAGAGAACAATTCATTTTGTGAAGACCTTCAAGGCTAAGATCCTTTCATTTAATGAAGCTCAGTAAATTGTACCCTTTTTTATCCAAATGTCCCTTACAGAAGCACAATTAGAAGTTGAAGAAGCCCCTTGTGCAATGTTCCAATGATTAGCAACTTGCGCAACGTTTCAATGATTACAATGTGAGCCTTCTTAGAGGTTTTGAAATTTAAATTCAAACTCGGTGGCCTAATTGACAAATCATTTTAAAAAAAAGGGTATGGATTTGAAGAGTATGTGCAATTGAAACTATATGGGGTTAGTGTTTACTTAGAAAAAATATTTTAAAATTATATTGCTTCAATAAAACATTATAAAAAA